ATAGGTGGTTGCCGCACAGCAGCAGCTATCATTGGTTTCCATCCCTATCCTTGACCTCGATGTCTGGGAAAGTAGGAGAAGCAACGGTGGAGTGTTCTAACAGTTTCTGTCTCCCTGACTAGAGGCTGTAAATGAACAGTGAGAAACAAAGCAGGGCTCAGAAGAAAGTGAGCAAAGTGTTAAGACGCCCCTGAGGTGAGAGACTGCCTGCTTCCTTGATTAATGCAGGCTCGAGGCACAAGTGGTGCCCAGCATGAACTGGACACAGAGGAAGTGCTTCCCAATGTACATTCATCCTAATTTTTGGTTCACAACAACCACCACCAGAAAATCGCCTCTCAGACAATAGAACTTTTGAAATAACACATTTGCAGGGTTCGGCTGTAGAAGCCATATTTGTTGGCTAAGCAATTCTAATTCTAAGTAGCCATCAAATGCCCTGCTGAACAGCTCTGCTGGTAAAGGGGCTCCATCCTATGCTGACTGCTCTCTCACCTGAGTCTGTCCTTGGGTCCATCAGGCATACTGTGAATAGTGCCACTGAAACATTCCCTGCCAGAATGTACAAAATGCTCCTGGGAAAGGCTTTGCAGATAAGGATATATTTAAACTAGATCTAAAGGTATAAAGCAGAGAGATGATAGTATGCAGGACATAAAAGCATCATGTAGCTGAAGCACAGGGTACCTGCCAATGATTGATGTGAGGGGTTTAGTTCCATGAGATCCTTTAATCATTACACAATATGTCAAGAACTAAGAGCTGGATCCCCTAGGGAACTCAGGAAATCACTGTTCTTGAATGCTATGGCAACAGAGGGTCCATATTTCTAAACTAACTTTATTTTCCCTTCATCCATGCTTTTTTTTAAAAAAAAGTTTCCAGCCCACCCATTAGGTATTTCAATCACTGGTCCAAGTGGTTAGTTTTAGAATATTTCCAAAGGGACCACTATACAAATAATTTCATATCATACCAAATATGGCTTTCAGTAACATGGTAGTTGCCTGGGAAAGTAGGAGAGGCAACGGTGGAGTGTTCTAACAGTTTCTGTCTCCCTGGTCCTTTGTCCAGGGCCACCTGTCTGTCTTATATCTTTATTTTTTTACTTTTGTATCCTTTATAGCTTTATCCAGGTCTTTTCCTCACTGTAAATAAGTATAAATCTACATTGAGATGAGTAGATAAATGAGTCTGCACTAGATTGGCTGTCCAGTTTTGGGTTGTGAAAATAATCTGTGACATCTCTAATGAAGGAAGGTTGCAGGAAGTCAAAGACATTAAGATAGTCTCTTTATCAACACAGAAAGGAGGCAGTGATGAAAATTGTTGTAATTGTGATTTGTAAATAATCACCAGCATTTGAGCTGTCAGTCTCCTTGAGCATCATTATTTTTGTAGCAGCAAAGTGGGGGTGAATTACTATGTAGGCCACTTATGGTATTGGCTTGGAGATCTTGGAGAATGCAAAAGAGATCTACTAACTTTCATGTCAGAACACTCTCAAGTGTGCTGGGAATAGCAGCACACACCAGTAATATTAACATTTGGACATGAAGGTTGGAGGTTTATCATGAGTTCCAGACCATCTTGGTATATAGCGAATTCCAGACCAGCCTGGGCTACTGAGTAAAACCTTGTTTCAAAACCTATCTCAAGTGCTTTAACCTGTAATTGAAATGGGGGAGAAAAAAGATGATCAGAGGTAAAGTTAGACCAGAGATACTTCCAGAAGGAATGGTAGCCCCTCCCACCTCCAGATACACACATCATACAGTATGTGTAGGAGGGTCTTATGACTTCTGTAGGGAGATGTTCTCAATTGCCTCCCCATCTCAAGACCTTCAGTGAACAATGTAGGATCAAAATGTCAATCAACAACCATGATTAACTGACTGGATTAATGTGTAATATATGCTCTTCCTATATATCTTTCTCTTCTCTATAGTCCAATAGTCAGCTACTTTTTATAGTGGAGACTAAAAACACAAGTCATAACCATCTCTGGTCTTGTTTGTTTCAAAGTCAAATCCCACTGAAGAACAAAGGGGGTGGGGAGAGACATAGATAGATTGATAGATAGATAGATAGATAGATAGATAGATAGATAGATAGATAGATAGATAGATGAGGAACAGAAGATTCAGAGTATGGGAAAAGGAAAATATTTCTATGTTCATTCGTACATGTGTGGGAGGGTGTGTTGTGTGCATGCATGCATGCACACATTCCTATGGATCTTTCTGGGTCAGGAAATTAGGGACTGTTGATAATAGCATCAAGATTCAAATATAAAAGAAGGCAGTTGGAAAACTAGGAACCTTTCCCTACATGGCTGCATGAAGCAAACAGAATAGGCCTGAGGGAAGAAGGTGTACACTGTGAAAATGACCTAGGAAGGGTCATGAGTCTCATGTCCCAGTGACTTTTGAGCAAATGACTGTCTCCCATTCACTAGCCCACACTCTCTGTGGAGTGTCTCTCTCTCTTAGTATACCATCTCTATTTCTGCTACCTTTTCATGTGTCCCTGATACAGTTCTTAGTCTTGAGACATGGAAACCCAAAGTGCCCCACCCCTTGCCCCATACTTAGATCCCTGTCAGTAATATTGAGACATGGGGAGGCCAGGCTCATCTTATGCACATAGAACTCTGGAGTCCTGTGGAAATAGAACCCCAAACCAGGACTCCAAGTATCATCATGAATTTCTGAAATACCACATAAAAGACAAATCAGGCTCCAGGGACCATTAGGAGAACCATGGTGGTAGAAACAACAGCTAATCTAATCTGGCACCCCATTTAGCCTAGAAATGAGACCTTTTATTGTTGGGGAATAGAGGGAATGTGCCAGTAACAACAGAGACAATGATTTCCATCAGTTTAGTAAGATATGAATGAGCTGATTTAAAGGTAAGAAAATGAAGTATTTCCTGCACACCCATGTTCATGAGCTAAGGTTCATGCCTACTCTACTCATTTGGCATGAAATATTTGGACATGTGGGAAGTGCTGTGGGAAAACATCATTGACATCAGACGAAAAGGTGCAGGGACAATTTTACTGTAGCAGGAATACATGGCTAGTGCTCTCTCCAAATGGGAAGATGAGTTTGGGATAATTGTTCACAAAATTTTGCTACTGTGGGTTCAAAGCTTGAGCCTGGAGACGTGAATAGGCTCAAGTTATCAAATTAGTCTCTCAGCATGAGGCACAGGTAGGAAAAAAATAGGGTTGGTTCTTTTGAATCTCATATTGTGATCATGAACCTTGAAGGGACCTTATTTAAAGGAAAGCTTTCATGGAAGACATACACTAGGCACATCTGTTTAAAAACTTATTTCTATTTCGTGTGTGTATGGGTAAAAGTGCCATGACACATGCCTGGAGGTCAGAGGAAAACTTTCAAGAGTCGGTTCTCTGCTTCTACCATGTGAGTCCTGGGGATCGAACTCAGTTCCCCAGGCTTGACAGCAGGGACCTTTACCCAATGAGAAATTTCACCAGCCCTTAGGCACCACACGACTACAAAAACCATTGTTCTTTGATGTGGCTAGAGGGAACTGCAGTGGCCGAGATGGTTGCATTTAATGGCCTTTACTCTGCTGCCTATGGTATCTGGGGAACAAATTTGTGCTTTCTTTACTTTTCATTTCTCATAAGAAATGTGTTGATTTTTGTTCTTATGGTTTGTGAGAAGTTGGCAAAGTTTTTATTAGCAATAAAAAAGATTTAAACCCTATCTAGGTTTAGCAACCTCAAAACTCAAACAAATCATAATATCTTATTAAGTTTTAAATGTTCTCTGATTGTCAAATATCTTCAGATTAAATTACACTCAGCCTTTGTCTCTATAGATTCGTTCTCTGTGAGCTTACCCAACCAAAGAACAAAAATACTCCAATAAACACTACCTACATAATGAATATGTGTAAAATTGGCCTTCCTTTTCACTATTTCCTATATGTTATGGCTATTTCCATTAATAGCATTTATACTGTATTAGGTATTGTAAAAAAAAAAATCTAGAGACTATTTAAAGTACATGGAATACTGTACCCAAGCTATGAGCAAATACACCATTGTATAGAGAGTACCGGGCATCTTTGCATTTAGGTCAGTAGGGGGCTTTGGAATGAAGCCAGCATGGATATTTGCAAGATTTCTGTATATGCATCATCATCTCGATGGCTACATTCAATGTAGTAATCACCTATTGTGCTAAGCCCAATGGTAGTTGCTAGGAATGTGTCAGGAAGACCTTGCTGTCCTCCATCCACATTCTGGTAGGAATGACAGACAATAAGGGCATGTGCCTATCCATTTGTGATGTGTTACAAAGAAAATCAAATGGTGTTGGGAGGATGAAGTGATAGATCAGCATGTTCTTTACATAGGACAAAAATGGCTTCTCAGCTCCAGGCCCTGCTGGTCTGCCCTGTTCTTATTCTTCTCCAGGTGTTTCAAGCTCTTGTTTTTCAGGATATTTTGTAAATCATTTCTCCCCAGGCTCTCCTTCCTCCTCCTCCTCCAGCACCACTCAGCTTCCTCACTGTTCTGAGCACAGCTCTACCAGCAAGGGCACTGAATCATTCCATGTCTCTGTCACCCAGTGAACAAGGCCCAGGGGAACAGGCCTGTGTCTCCTTCACTGCAAATCCCAGAAGCGTGAACCATGCAGACAGGTGTCTAAGTAATTCTTGGACATCAGAATGATAGGTTCTGGTCTACCAGATGGTTTGTGTAAATGAAGGCGGCCCCTTCCTGGAACTACGAAGAAAGCTGTATGATTCTTCTTGTCTGTCATTCAAGTGAATTGAGGGATTTTTATAGGAAAGATTGACATCCTTTGGTTTCCCCAGGTTATGCATGTCAGTACTGACATGAGATCACTAACTAGCCTGTCACTTCAAAAACAGGTCATTGCTATTGGAAATGTGTGCTGACTAGAGTGCCATTTAAAACTACATTATTTACCTGTAAAAGACCAAATCATAAGTAGGCAGAATCAACCCATGCTTTTATTTTCATTGCATATAAAAATTTTATATGAAGGTATTGATGTACAGTACTATCCCCATGGGCTGTAAGAGAGGCTAAGAAACCACTAACAGAATCATCTGTGATGCTCACACACAATTTACCACTCTGAAAACATACCCAAAGAAATAAAACAATTAAAAAACTGAAATCAGTAAGGATGTATTTTGTAAGTATAGTGTCCCGTTTGTACTGTTTAAAACAAAAGTAATCAAATTCCTTTGGGCCAGGGCTGCTAAAATCTACAGTTTGTGTCAAAAATAAAAATGAAATAATAAGAGGCTCGTTTTTTCCTAGAAAAAAGAATCTGTCTTTTCACTGTGTCACACGTCCTAAGGGCTGGGCTGCAGTGAGAGGGGGCCACATTTTCCACCAGGAAGCGCTCATGGCTTTCAGGACTAGCCATTGTGCAAGGTCACACTAACAATCCTACAAAGACATACATTTTTACAGAAACAATTTTAGAGAGACATGAATTCACTATGTTAATGGGAATTGGCATCATATAACTATGTTTAAGTCAGATGATTTACATGTATATATTTAAACAGTGTGTATGTATATGCATTATACATATATACTATGTATTATGCATATATAAATTTGATCTTGGAGAACAATTAGTATTAAAAATAGTATAAATTTTTGGTATGACAGGAAGCTGGTGAGCAGAGGATTAACCAAGATGAGTGAGCTATGACTCCTGCTTTGAATCAAATTCATCTTCCTGTGAGGTCTAGATGCCAACAAGCCATTCTATAATCACTGGAGATCATTTCCCTAGTACAGGTTTGGGAACAAGAAAGCTAATCCAATACGTCCAAGTACAATAGCTCCTGGTACTCACTGGGAAACAGTCACCATCTGTGGAGTCTTGCTCCGTGGAAACAAGTACTCAAGAGCTGGTATCTCAAAAGGGTCGGGAGGTTCTCCAGCAGTGATCTATAGTTTTGAAGAAATCCAGCTATTGCCAGAAATCCAATCAGGGAAGAGTGTGGATACGAAATGCCCAGCCCGAGCCTCATTATCACTTCACTTTGAAATGCAGCAAAACAGAAGAAAATATTGGTTACAGTTAAGGCACAGCCCTGGGACCAAAGACCTGAAGCTATGATATTTAAATTTATATATCTTTATGTACTTTATATTTTTCTTGAATCTTCCATAAACAAGCTCTATGATGACAAGACTATATTACAGAAGAAAAGAAAAATGTACAAGGAGCATGTATACACACCGTTCATTCTCTCACCAAGAGTTTCCAAATATGTCAACACCACCCCACCGTGGGACGATGTTTTAATAAGAACTGATAATTTACAATTAACATTACAGTATGTACATTGCAATAAATACACGGTTGTAAACAGACAAACAAGACTGTATTACAGGTAAGGTCATTTGGTGAGAAAAAAAATACATGGCACAAAAAATAAATAATGCATTAAAATTATCATAAAGCTTTCTGTAAAATCTGTTTCATTCAAGTCTTTTTTTCTTTCCTTATCTGCAATTTGTTCTATCTACACTGTTTACTTGTGTCTTTTAACTGATGTGAATGAAAACATAATGAGAACATCATTATTGTGTTCAGTAACTTGCAAGCTGAAATGTACTGGTTTTACACAAACATGGACTTGGTTTTCCCCATACAGTACCCAGATATTGCATTTTCTTATGGCATTTTAGGAAACGAAACCACTTGTATAAAGATGTTCTTTTTAATGCCGTGTGTCTTGGGAAACACATGTTGGTGAGAGAGTGAGGGGGCAGGCGCATGGGAAAGGGGTGGGGGTAGGGGTGGGGTAAGCAGATGGTTTGGTGGGTATAGTACGATAGTCTCTAACTCTTGGATATTAGGTGTCCTCTACAGCTTAACTGTCCGCCAGGGGATGCCATTACAGGCCAGTGCCGTTCAAACCCAACACACTGGGAAGCAACAGCTCCGTTAGTGCAGTTATGAACCCTTGCAGGTATAAATCTGTTTATGATATATTGCTGCTTATTGTAAGTTTCTTTTCATGATGAAGACTGCAGGCACTCTGGGGTGGGGGGGAAATGTCACGTGTAGGAAGGGAAGTGAGATTGCTTTAGAAAAGGGGGAATCAGCTCGAGAGTCTTTGCCTTTCCTTCTGGACCTCCTTCAGGGATACATACAATGAAAAGAGAAACCGGTGCCCGAACGTTTTCTGAAAAGTCTGGTCACACAACGGCAGATTATGCTCCATTTGCTTTTTACAAGGGTAAAGGAGGCTGGCACTCAGTGATCAGTTACTTGAGGCTTACCCTGCCCCATGGTAAAGATCAGAGACCATTTCTGTACCAAAGGTTCCAAGCATCATTTGGATTTAAGAGATGGAAACAGGGTTTCAGCTCAGCTTGGGTGTTTTCCCTGGCTGATGATTTCCTTTCTCAGTGCTAGCCCCCCGCCACTTCCTTGAGAAGTTTTAGACATGTTCTTTCAGACTTACGATTTTTCTTACATATTTCATTTACCATTTAGTCAGGTACCGCTCTTCCCTTTATTCCCCATTTGGACGCCAAAAAGAAAAACAGTAACATGGGCCCCAAACTCCCAGAACACGACTAAGGTCCAGACTAAACATAGGCTGCATGGGGATGATTGCGATCAGCAAGTAACACTGGGAGTTAATTTATAAAATCAATACAGTTCCTGGGGTTGAAATCTGGAATCCCCTCTTAATGCTGTACTGAGGCACTGGCAGACTCTGTCAATCCAATGTTTTAGATTGCATCGCATAACTATCTCCCCGGTGCCAGTGGCAACATTAACTTTCATTCAGTGTCTCCGAAGTAGTCCTTCCTATAGGACAAGTCTGCAGAGCAATGAGAATCGCTGGCAATTTTACACCTTACCGGGCTATCTATTAAGGGAGAGTGGCCGCTCTACTTAGAATCACTTTCCAGGGATACTCCTCATGGAGGTCTTATTTCCATGGGCAGTTCAAACCACAGTTGTCCTGGTATGCGCTGATATAGTCTGCTCACATTCTTAAGAACTGCCTCCGTAGCACTTACCATGTTTTTCCTCTGCAACCCCAGAGTATAAGCTAGTGATGACACAGAACCATGGGGAGAAACGAACGTCAACCCTGACCTGATAACCTGTTTCTCTTTTCTAGGTCAGAACGGTAGTGATATCCTCGATGAGACCCCACCTAGAGAATACGGGCAGATGCTTGGAACACACATTCAATAGTGCAGCATGAAGGAAAAAACGTCTTTCTTCCTATAAGTGGCTGTGAACAACAATAAAGCGATCATGAAATGTGTGGGTGACGACAAGGACATGCATTTGTGAAATACATGTCTCCTGACACAGGAAAATAAAAAGGCATCAGAAGGCAGTCGGTAGGAAAATGCCTGAAAAAGACTGACTCTTTCAGCTACTAGGTATTTACATATCTCCCGTTTACTTTGGACAACACTAACTGATGACTGAGCTTCTATGAGGCTGAAGACACATTTGACATAATGCACATCAAAGGGTTACAGAATAAATACTCACTTTGCACACCATGAAGGAAGCAGTGATGGAGAGCGACTCTCCGGCCTGGGGGAGTTGTGGAACTAAAAGGCGGAGTCAACGGACACTTACAAAAAGGGTTTCCAGCAACATAAAGTTGTTTCTCTGTTTTAAAGTATGGAAGTCATTGGTATATAAAACAATGAATCACTACAAATCGGTTAATTGCTAGGAATTCTAAGGTGCAAGTAAAATTCGTAAGTGAGATTTATCCAGTGTAGCACTGATCTGTACTGAAAACTTGCAAGTTACTCCTTAGGAAAAAAAAAAAAAAACAATAACCAGTGGCAGATGAAGTTCTGAACAGTTTTTTTTAAATATAATACCTCAATACATTTAATAATAAAAGTAAGCTCTACAAAAAATCTGTTTTACATATCATACAAAATGTAGAGGTGTGTGTGGCTCATTGAACCACACTGTTCAGTCTTGTATCAGGAAGACTTGAAATTAGAAAATTATGCAATTTCTGTGGCTCATCCTCCTCCTGCGCACAGACTCAGGCTATGTCCTCTTCGTGACGTTTTCAATGTTTCATCTGTGAGCTCACTCCGTCCCTCAAATGCCTTCTTTCTTCTCAAAATTCCTGCAAACCCACCAGAGAGGAATCCGGCAATCCAACCTACTCCGGGGCAGCCTGATGAGCCACGCCCCCTTGAAAACAGTTGGAGTTGATTTTACCCACTCTGTCAGCTCTGCCAAGCTGAACTCGTGTCAAGATCATGTTCGTGAAGACGTCCCCCTTGCTCCGATGACATGGAGGTGCAAGAACTGGTTACGGTATTCCTGAGCGCCAGACTGAGTAGTTCAAGGTCAGTTTTGTTCAACAAACGTCCTGGCAGATGATAGTGAGGTGTGACCATGGTTGTGGCATGTGACATGCACTTTGGAAACAATTTTTCTACTTTTAAAAAAAAAAAAAAAAAAAAAAGGCGTGACAGTCTTTACACTGTTACGTGTCAGGACAACAATCATCTGCCACACAAGTCTCGGGCTGGCTTGCCTCCTCCTCCGCTACGGCCTCCTCCTCCACCTGCTCATCAAGGGGGATCTCGGTGGACTCTGAGTCTTGAGTACACAGGGTCTTGGAGTCGCTGCAGCTAGTGTCTTCCTCCACTTGGCTACCACTGTCCTTCTCAGTGTCTGACTCACCGTCTTCCTCTAAGGTTAGTTCAAACTGGAATTTTTCAGTTTGGCCCTGCCGGCCCTCCTCTTGGTCATCGGGGGCAGGGGAGGGGCTCTGAGGGATTGTGCTCTGGTACCACTCGCGGTTGTCCTCCAAAGTGTCCAAAATGTCCTGGGCATCGGGGTGTACGAGGTCTGCCCACGTCTCCCAGAGTGGATGAACAATATAGTCTATGAAGCCCACCTGGTCATAAAACAAAAGAAATCCAGTGGGACTAAGAAACTTGGGAGAAAAAGCTTACCCAAATCATGATCCCCCACAGAGCCTGCGCAGGAGACTACTAACCTGAGTCTGATACATTAGTCACCATTTGAGCCAACAGATCATGTAAATGTGGTTACTAGCTGGCTAAAGTTAGAATTCTTAGCTCAAGGGATGCTTACAATATAAAGAATACTAGTTGTTGACACAGTAGGACCTGGAGCCTGGACCTTACTTGAGAATAGCCAATTTGTAGAGAACCCAGATAACTGAAATAAGCCAAGCTTTCAATGTACAGAAGTACATTCGGTGGATACAGTCACAATGAAAGAATTATAGTGCCATACGTGTGGCTATATGACTATAATTCGTCAACAGATGTAAAATCCACCATGTCAAAACCAAATTAATTAGGGCTAGAGAGATGGCTCAGAGGTAAAGAGCACTGACCGCTCTTCCAGAGGTCCTGAGTTCAATTCCCAGCACCCCCATGGTGGCTCACAGCCATCTGTAAGGAGATCTGGCGCCCTCTTCTGTGTACACAATAAATAAATAAATCTTAAAAAAAAAAATTAACAAAAAGAAAAACACAAAATGCTGTGAGGCATGAAGCTGGAACAGAACAGCCAGATGCTTCAGCTGTGGCTCAGCCCCATTCTCTTGAGTCGTGGCATTACCTGTGATTTTTCCACAGAGGCATTGTGCTTGTCACACATGGGACTTATCTCCATGCCACGCTCCCGCTCTCGGTCTCCCTGGCGGAAGAACTCCTCCATTATCCGGTCCGTCCACTGGCGGTAGAGCTGGAGCGGCTTCGTAGGGTTGCTCAGGTCTGCGCAGTGCACCATATTCTGAAGGACCTGAGGCGGAGGGAAGCATTCTGCACTCAGCAACCGCTGCTCTCGGTTTGAAACTAAGCATTCACATCAGATGACTGGGACAACTTAAAAATACATGTAGTGTCAGATCTATTACAAACAGCTCAGCCATGGTGTGCCTCTGTGGTTCACACTTGTATTAATAGTTCCCAATTATGCCACTTCTGCATTTAAGTGTCATGAGAGACACTGTTTGTGTTCATGAATTATTAAATTCCAAGAGGCTCAAATGGTTGGTCTTTGGATGTTAAGTTGTTGTTGCTGTATGTGTAAATGAACAGGCCAATAAGATTTTAAATACAAAGGACTGGGCAGTTTTTTGTCTTATTGGTCTTTTGCTTGTATATTATGATTTCCAATTGTGTGTTTTTATGGCTTGTGTGTGTGTGTGTGTTTCTTGTGTTTTGTTTTTTAATTCTGGTTTGTGTTTTGCTTTCTAAAGAGAGGGAAAAAAAGACGTGGAGTTAGATGGATGGGGAGGCAAGAAGGATCTGAGTGGAAGTGGGAGAGGGGAAGCCATGATCAGAAAATACTGTATGAAAACCACATTTACCAACAGAAAGGAGAAGAAAAAGATCCTGCCTGCAGCCTCTGGACATATGAGATGGGACAAAGGAGGCACAGCCCTATCTTATTCGGAGTCCCTGATGTGTGCATAAAGAGCAGCTGGAGACACGGACTTACCTGGATCCTGTCGGAATAGTTATCAAGGAGGAGGACCCCGGAGCTGGTCACCTTCTTCGTCTCCACCATCGTTTTCAAATCAGCCAGCAGATTCATGTGCTTTGACATGTCTGTCGCAAGTACCTGGCAGGGCAAAGATCGTTTTGTGAAGGAATCATGCCGAAAGGAAAAAAATAATTTGCAAATGGACAAAGAAATTATTTTGAGTTTGAGAAGGAGTGGCGAAACATAGTGAATTTTAATGATGTGTGGAAATGAGTTCATATTGGGGGAATTCTTTTTCTCTTGGCTGTCAAGTTTTCCTGGAGCCCAGAAAAACATAACGCAACACAGAAACATGAGGTACCTGAGCACCACGTTCAAGGTAAATATACCATTGTATTTTCTGTGTGTGTTCTGAACAAGGGAGCCATTGCTGCACTAGAACTAGCTGATTCAAGGCTACTCAAAGACCACGTAGGATGCAAAGATTTTGGGTTAGTTTGCTTTGTTTTGCTGATCTAGAACAAATGATGTCTCCCTGTGTACAACAAAGCAAGCTGACAAGATGGTTCTGTGGGTAAAGGTGCTTGTCACTAAGCCTGATGATATGAATTCAATCTTTAGGAATTCCACTTTCCAGGTAGTGGAAAGAAGAAAACTTACTCCCACAAACCATCCTCTGAGTTCATAGGTACACCAGGGAGGGTACGCACACGCACATACCCAAACAGAAATTTAATAAATGGATGTAATTTTTAAAAATACATACAATTTTGTACTACCCAGAGATTTTCCTATTGTCAGGCCACTCTGGATGATGTACACAGGGAAAAGAATCTAACTGAGGGTATTTCTAAGTGGGTGGGGAGGTGGAAAGACTCCCCTGGAGTTACAGGGGAATCCTCCTCCTCTGCTTGCCACTGGCCAAGAGGAGCAAAGAAAAACCTGAACAGTGAGTCCTTAGTCTTTTGTTTTGCTATTCTTCTCTCATATATTATATCCTGACTATAGTTTCCCTCCATCCCCCTCCCTAAGTCTCCCCCTACCATCTCCCTCCTCCTCCAGATCCACACCCCTCCCTTTCCTCTCCCCCTCAGAAAAGAGCTGCCCCCCCCCACCAGGGACATCAACCAAACCTTTTATAGCAAGTTACAATAAGACCAGGCACATGCCACCACGTCAAGGCTGGAGGAGGCAACCCAGTAGGAAGAAAAGGGCCCCACAAGTAGGCTAAAGAGTCAAAGACAGCTCCCTGCCCCCTCTGCTGGGAATCGCACAAAAACACCAAGCTTCTCAGCCATAAAGTCAAACTCTAGGTTGAGCTTGGGGAGTCCTTTGGAGGAGGGGAGGGAAGGATTGGAGGAACCAGGGGGGTCAGGGACACCACAAGATCGAGGCCCAGGGAATCAACTGACAGGGACTCATGGGGGCCTTGCAGAGATCAGGGAGCCTGTAGGGGTCTGACTGAGGCTGCCAGCAACAGAGACGCCTATTACAGGAGAATATTGCCAGCAACAACAGAGGAAGTTTCCACAACTCCACGTCCCAAATCTAACCTCATACCATCCCTAAGAATCGGTTTCATTAGGTACTTACAATGTCAATGACCATTTTCCTTAAAGATTGTCTTTGTTTTTTGGTCAGATTCTGGAAAATGTCACAGTTTTCTTCTTGGAGCAACTTAAACCCTACAGCCAAATGATGGTTCTCTAAGACAGAGGAGTCGTTGTACATCAAGGCAAGCTCTGAATCTGAAAGGAAGAGCAGCAGCGTGTCACCAAGGCTGTTTAATTAATGTCTGTCTCACTCTTCAAATTTTATGGTGACTCCCAACACTCCAACGGCTGTGACAGGAGGATAATGAGTTAGACGCTGGTCTGGGAAAACATACCAATGAATGAAAACAAATCCCCAAGTTCTTTGATGCCTTGTGTTTAGGATACAGTTGCCCCTGATCTTCTCCATCACCCACCTGCAAATATGTCAAATAATCTAAGAGCCAAAAGAAAGCCAGAACCTCAGGAGTGAATTATAGTTTGACTGATAACGGAACCTTAGGAGTGAATTACACTTTGACTGGTATGTGGTCCTTCCGGTCAGTTCTCTGAAGTGAAAGAAGTGGACCACACTATCTTTTCAGGATCTGCTATCAGATTGTGGCATTATTCTTAAGGTCTGCAACGCATCTGGACATGATGTGTTATTTCCTGGTAGCTGTGGAACTGTAGATGTAACCGTCTTGTTAAATAAGAAACACAGAGCCCATGCAGAGATGAAAGCCCAGGAGGTCAGAGTAATAGCTAAGCGCTAAAAACCTTACCCTTCACTGCCGCTCCTGTCCTTCCCTCCGCAAGAGACCTTAGGGTAAGGTTTTTAGCGCTTAGCTATTACTCTGACCTCTTGGGCTTTCATCTCTGCATGGGCTCTGTGTTTCTTATTTAACAAGACGGTTACATCTACATGGAACACTTGCCCTGATACAGTGTGTGGATCATGGGTGAGGTTGTTTGTATACAGAAAGTTCCAGTATTCAGTTTGTTTACGGTGCTTATCCTTCTAAGTACCCCCACCCCCAAATGTTTCCTCTTTTGAGGCTCCTGGCAGTGCTCTGTGTGAACTGCCTGCCTTCCTGCCTGCTCGTGGCTTCACAGACCCTGTGCATACCTGTCTACAGGTAGAGATTCTGCACTTCACATACTGCTTTGCAACTGTGGATTAATGGTGAAAAGAGACTCTGCCTCTCCCTATTCCTGTAGACAGCAGACTTAGATGAAGAAGGGTTTTGGTTTTTAAGATTTTTTGCTTTATAAGTGTTTTTCCTGCATGTATATTTCTGTGCCATGTGCGTGCCTGGTGCCTATGTGGACTGGAAAAGGGCATTGGCTCCCACGGAACTAGCATTTCAGATTGTGAGCTGCCCTGTGGGTGCTTGGAATCGAACCCTGGTCCTCTGCAAGAGCAGCCAGCACTCTTAAATACTGAGTGGTCTCTCCATGCCTATCTTTAAAAGAAAAGGAAGCAAAATAAAGTGCCTTAAAACTTAAGTTGCTGTAAAAATAGAAAGCACGGGTAGTGGATCTTTACCAATGTTCTCAAAAATACATTCAGGCCAGGCGGCGTTGGCACAAGCTTTTAATCGCAGCACTAGGGAGGTAGAGCCAGGCGGATCTCTGTGAGTTTGAGGCCAGCCTGGTCTATAGAGTGAGATCCAGGACAGGCACCAAAACTACATGGAGAAACCCTGTTTCAAAAAAAAAACACAACAACAACAAAAAAACCAAAAAAACAAAAAAAAACCAAAACAAAACAAAAAAAAAAAAAACAAGAAAGTAAAAAATACATCCAGATGCTTCTTTTACGGGACAAGCATTGGGAACTACTTACTGATTGCTTTGAAGTTGTCAGGGAGACAATGGAGGCTTGGGACCTGCTCCCTGAGGAGACTCTATGATCTTAGTACTACACACATAAGAAAGGGCACATCTCATCTGCTGCTCCCCATGCCAGAAACAGGAGTGTGGAGTTTCACGAATAGATGTGGAAGTATATGGTTCACTTTTATTTTGTCTGGAAAAATGGATACTGTCGAAAGGTAATGTCTGACTAAGTCTGACTAAATCCGAGTGCTGCGATTTTTTCCATGCTAGAGATCAAAGTCTTACTTTTAAATAGTCTATGAAAAACCTATGGATAAACCTGTAGAAATTAGAAATTTAAAATGAAATGGGATCTGAGCACAAGACACTGTACATACACAGCCGAATCATATTAAGCAAGCAAATGCTAGAAGGAAGGCATAATATTGTATAACGCATAGAAATAACATGACTTCATCTACCAGGGTTCTTTTAGGGGAATAAACATATATGTAGATAAGGGGCAGTAACATAATGATTCACCTGGACTTGCAGAAATACTAATAGGTTTATATTCCCCTTGAAGAGAGAGGCAGGGCAAGCTGAGAGGCCACTGCCTCCGAGAAGGTGATCTGTTCTACAGAGGGATGGCTTGTGATGCAGGGTCCAAGGGCACTGCTAAGCTTGACTTCGGCAAGGAAATGATTCCTTAGTGGGCTGGGCCGGGGTAATCAGTTGCTCCTGTCTGATGCTGTTGAAGGGCAACTGGGACCAGGTAGTAAAAGCTTAGTTTTAAATGAAAAAAATACTAGCATTTAAGAAATTGAACCTCAGGGTCATCATTGAACTTTCTATGTTTGTCACTGAGGTTGCGTGGGTCACACAGAAGACGGGAGGTGGCAGTCTATGGCACCTTGCTAAAGATGCTAAAGGACTTGTGTGTAGAGTCCTTCAGGCTCACACTCCAATACAGTGCACACACAGTAAGGCGGGGGAGGACGGGCGGAGAGGCAGGCCACCTTTTCCATGAACTCATTCTTGACTGCTGGAGACATAACTGCTCATTTCTCCCCAACACTCTGGACCACTCAATGACCAATTTATAGCATGCTCCCCGTCTGCCCTTCTCTCTGAACACCGTCTCCCTCCTTGACCCTCCTAACCTACTTAGAGGCTTGTGTCTCTAAACAAAATTAAAGATTATTCCTGGTCATCTGGTTTCTACTACACACCCCTGTAGCTAGAGTTTTCCTGCCTTGCCCACAGTCAGGACAAATCTCTGTCACCCGCCAGTCCCACAGCCGCTCAGACCCAACCAAGTAAACACAGAGACTTATATTGCTTACAAACTGTATGGCCGTGGCAGGCTTCTTGTTAACTGTTCTATCTTAAAGTAACGCATTTCTACAAATCTATACCTTGCCTCGTGGCTTACCAGCATCTTCACATGCTGCTTGTCCTGGCGGTGGCTGGCAGCGTCTCCTTCTGCCTTCCTGTTCTTTTATTTCTCCTCTGTTAGTCCCGCCTATACTTCCTGCCTAGCCACGACCAATCAGGTTTTATTTATTAACCAATCAGAGCAACTTGACATACAGACCATCCCCCAGTACAGTCAAGTGCAGACCATCTCAGACACCTGCACTCAGGCCCATGGTCCTAAACATCCTCTATGCAAACCTGATGGGTAACGCCACAAGGAACCCAAGAAGGGCTCCCACAGGACATACATTAACATCCCACAGCACACTCCCCTTCTTCCTAATTTAAAAGCAATAAGAAGAGACTATCCTAAGCCATCACATTCGGGGGACTCAGCTGCTCTGTCCTGTAAGTGGCTGGCATGGTGTGATGGCCATTCATAAATGAAGAAAATGAGTCTTAGGAAAATAACATTGCCTATATAATATAGCTGGGACACTCTAGGGCCAATATTTAAAGGCAAGCTGTCCCTAGACTCTCATGTCAAGCTTTTATTATAATCTTAAAAAGAAAAAAAAAAAGCTAACAGTAAATCCACCCAGCCAGCTCTGGGTTTTTCTTTATGAGGAAATGTTTTGTTTTTTTTCTGCTTCAGTTTTATTGCTGAGCTGTTTTTATCTTATTGATTTTAATTTTGATGATGGCAGGGCCTTGCTCCAAAATCCTAAAGTTCTGTATCACATATCACCTATGGCTCCCTGCACACAGCTCCAAACAACAACCCCACTGCTACTGGCCTGCCCAAGCACCGATACACCAGTGAAATCATGAGACGCTTGCACAGCAGCGTAGACACAGGAAGAGACTACTTTTATTCTGAGTCATGAAATAAACTAGCAACAGTTTTTCATTCTATTCAGTAATGGGCTAGAGTGACATACCCCAGTGAGGAGAACGCTGTTTCCAAATCCACCCAGGCTCAGGGATCACGAGCACCGCTCTTGGTTACATATAGGGTTATATTATATATAATTACTCTTCTCCCACCTTAGAAGGGTTGGCCCAACATGCCCCACACCACTGGGCTCTTACAAATTTCACTAAGGGACAGAGCTTCCTGAATTTTAGCTGGATTTATTTCCCAACCAAGGTCATTTTACCAGCAGATGTCCTGGAAAAGCAGGGGCTCATGGTACTTAAGCCAGTCATGGGAGGTGATTCTGACTTTGACTTTCCACAATTTATCCCTTCGAGTGCAGCAAAAAAGGGCTCTTGTCCTGACACACTCAGAAACACAAACCATTGACGTGTGCCTGATCTGGGAATTCCCATCCCTGAGCTCATCACTTCAACATTTGGTCCAGTGACATTGGGAGTAACTAAGCAATGTCACCACATTCCCAAATCTCCTAAAAAGTGCTGAGATGATAGTCACTCAGCTTCTTGCATCCTATAAGGAGTTGGTAAGAAGTACCCAAGGCATCTCTATAAATAGTTCATAATATAGCCTACCCGTATGCTCTTTACTACAAGAAATAGAATCATCAGAGTCTTCAAATCTAAGATTAGAAAACATCAGAACCCCCTGAAGCAACTCAGAAAATGCATCCTTAGAATTCCGCTCCTCCTAGACCACCTTAGAACCCAGTCTCCATGAGTCATGCTTCTACAGTGACACATAAGCTGAAGGCCAGATATAGATTTACACATTTGTGTGTATGTATGTGTAGGAATTGGCTCAAGTGCTTATAGAAGCCAAGAACGGCCTGGATCTTCAAGCCTTGTACAAACTGGAGAGCCAAGCAAGTCAGCAGCAAGGCAGTCCTTCCAAAGGCCCAAGAGAGGGAAGGAAATGACTTAAGTTCTAGTTCATTTCTAGGGCTCTGCAAACCAGCAGCACTGATGTCTGAGAGCAGGGGATGAAGGATGTCCCAGCTCAGACTGAGAACACCATTTGCCTCCTTTTAGCTCATCTA